AGGTTTGGTGACGTGAGCAGCGTCGACTTGCCATGGGCATACGCTTCAATGACTGATCCCAAATTCTTCCCCAAGGGCGCCATTTTGGAGCAGATCGATGTGCAGCAACTTGGCAAGAGCATCAACTTCTGCCTTCAGCCGTTCAATGACGCTCCATTTGGCAAAATTGGTGATGAGCATTCTGTGTTCGGGACGAGAGATCAAGCTAATCAGCTATCTCACGACCTCTGCAGGATCCTTCGCCACAAGATCGGCAATTGCCAAGGAAGTGCCTTCAAGTGTGATGAAGGTGGGTGGGTCGACATCGATGCAATCATCAACGACTATGGGGTGAACATATTCCCACCGAAAACTACGAGAGAGAGACGCTACATGGGCATTGTAGAGGTGATGAAATGGCAGGAGTCTGGATACAAGAAATCGAGATTTCAGATCCTAGCAGTGAGGTATCCGAGCATCATGAACCTGAATGACATGAGGGCCGCCAGACAGGAACTGTCCTACATGGGTCACGATCAGGGCGAGATCAACGTGATATTCAACAGATGCGATGGATGGTACAGACCTTGGTGCATTCGGGCCACAACTGGTCACGGCGACTTTGGATTCATGAGCTCTTCCGCACTGGCAAATAGGTATTCCGCAAGGACGGGTGACTCCCTTGGAGGCGCATTCCACGTAACATATGTGGAAAACCTGCCGTTGCGGGCTAGTCCCCGGCGGAATCGGTGGCGGAAACAGATTGGCACTGCACTTCGGGGCATTCGCTCCATGGGACAAGATGAACTTGGCGACGAAGACGTCGCTACGCAACCTGCGGGTTGGGGATCCGATCGCAATCATCTACATTCCCAGTGCAACTCTCGCACGGTACGGAGCTGGAGTTGCGTTCAACGGGACGTTCATGGTTTTCGACGTTCTATGAAGTCAAGTCCATGTGGATCGGCAAGTGCAACGAAGGGAAACGCATGGACATCGAGGACGTCAAGCGGGCGTACTCGATGTGCGTCGAGAACGAGATCTGTCCTGCTTTCGTTGGCTCATCCCAAGAGTCGGCCTTGATGTTCCTTCAGAACGTCGCCAAGGTCATCGAGGGATCGCCGGAAACTGAGGCGGGCGCCGACAATCTGCATTACGTCAGAGACATGGTGGATCGGGCCTGTGAGTTGTTTCGAGGCGGCCAACATCAAGAGTTGGAAACCCTGACAAATGAGATCAGAGATGAGATCAGCAAAACCATCATCCTGAATGACGAGACTTGGGAAGGACTCAGGTGCCGAATTTGTCCGTCTTGTGCAGCTGCAATTCCTACATGCTTCTGTATATGCCTGGAGTGCGAAGCGCAATTGATCTCTACTGGAAGATTCCGTATCAACGTCAGCTCGGGTGACGATGATGACGACCACGAACCCAACGTGTCCGGAGATGCCAGGCGGGCGCAGGAGGAAGCGAACGACAAGGCGGCAGCACAAGGGAAGGATGGTGGAATGGAAGATGATCCCGGGGATGATGATATGGGCACGCAGGGTTACACATCCGGCAACGTGTCCGAAGAGGAAGACAACGAATGGGATTATCGCGACAATGACACGAGACATCATCAGCTCCCAAAGGATGGCAATCTGCATGGATGAGCCACGTGAGGCTCAATACATGGCAGGGTTCATTGCGCTGCAAATGTCAAGGATGTGGGGGATGTTTGAGGCTGGCGAAAAGCGCGCACTAAGGGGAGCTCCCGCGTGTCCATATCACAACGACTTGGCACGCTACCCCAACATCACCGACCTTGATCGTGATGGTATTGTGTTACCATCATCTGGAATGTTCGATCAAGGACTTTCAGAACAGTCGAGGAGCGCAACCAACACATTCGCTATTTGGCGCTCAAATGCAATGGGCTGTACATTTTCTACAAATTGTGGATTGCGGCAAAGATCCTCGACATCGCCAGGGAAGAAATGAAGCTGTTGGTCAGCGATCGCAAACATCCAGTGGGTGACATTGTTTACAGGTGCTTCTCCCTGGCATTCAACTGCAAGTGCATATCTTTCGCAAGGACCGGGCTAAACCTTGGTAGGCATGGGTATGTGGTCAACGTGAGCGCTATTATTGCGGCCACAGACCCGGGCAAATGTGACGGACCTCTGCTTGATTGGTGCATCCGGAAGGGACATTGGCTTGCGGACGAGCACTACAAGAAGTATGCCCGAGTACGAGACGCCCAACGCAACTTGGACGAAGAATTCCGTCGATGTATCACTAGGCTGGCCATTGTGGATCGACCTGTGTGATGCTGAACTGGATCATCGTTGCGTTTTGCGGCATGGTGCGGGCCAGACCCCATCCATCGCCAGCAACACATTGATTTCACTACGATGGAATGAACTACGACATGATGTTATTCGTTTGTCCAAGGACCATGTTTATGTATGTATTTACATATTCCGACGACTATGGCATCCCGGATATTCTTGGATGGGCACTATTACCTCATGGAGGATTTCATTTCCTTATATTATTCGTGGTGTCTGGGATGGCTATTTTTGCATACATATTGCTCGCCATTTTCTTTGCCGGTGATATACGGATGGCTTACAATCATGCGCTGCTATGGATTTCTTCGCTCAACCCATTTCTGTGGATGACAGCTGCGCGATGCGCAAATGCGGCAGCTGGGATCTCCGATGGCTGCGTTGTGGTACGGGGCATAATGCCTCATGGCTCTGTGTATAGGAATGTGCTGCGATCTGCGGATGCGCGTTTTGGTTTAATCGAACCCGGCTAAGTTTCACAATGAATAAACGGCGATGCAGTAGTGAGTGAAAGAATGTTCGACACGGTTTCGTAATCAGAGCCGTGGCCATTGGAACTTGTTGTGATGTTTGGACCGCATGATGAACAGTGCGACCCAAATGGGGGATGTTAAAACCCTCCTGGCCCCGTGCCTAAATTGGGAAGCCGTTCTGAGGTCCATGTTCTTGTTGGTTGAAATGTTCCATTGGATGCCACATTCGGCTCAAGATACAAGTAGGGCTTAAGGTCTTGCATGAACTTACGTTCTCCTGTGATCGATCTGTGTGAGAGAAAACAGGTTCAATCGCGCTGCTGGTATCGGACGTGCGTGTGTGGTTATTGGACAACACCGTTACAACAGTTTGCACTGGTTTGGCTGTATCGGTTTGGCCGTATATCCTTTCTACGTGGTTGAGTACACTCAGCTGGAAGCTTGGTGGACAGCGTCCCACGGGACGTCATCTTGCGCTCTTGACACAAACCGCGGGTTTTAGTCTTTGGCTCCATTTGCCAGGGTTCCATTTTCGTACCGGTTTTTTTGAGCCACAGCCAAGTCCTCAGAATAGTTCAGCGAGCAATGAGCTTGCGCGAGTTTCATTGTGTGAGTTCTCTGTGATGCAAAGCTCCTTTTGCCCCGTTTCGGAACGGGAGGCCTGTTGGTTTTGAAAAGAGGCTGGTTGGAAGGGAAGCGGAATGGGCGCCTCTCTTGGGCATTGAGCGGCGTGCGACCCCTTTCCCCGGGCCGAGCGGTTTTCCTTTTCCCTTTGAGCACCGGTAGGCTGGAACCGTTTTTTTGCTTCTTCTTTTTTTTGAGCTTACACCAGCGTTTCTCTTTTTTTTTTTTGGAATTTCCTCATCCCGGATTCTCATTTTTGTTTTTTCTCACAGACGAAGCTTGCAAGTGAGTGAGTGAGCGACTGGCGGTTGCAAAGAAAACAACACCTCGGTCCTTAAAAAAAATAAAAAATCACGCCTGGGGGGGGTCATGTTCTTTTTGGAATCACATTTTTGAAATCGCGCCTGGGGGGTCCAGTTTTTTGTTTTTGTTTTTGCCCGGGGGGTGCAGTCTTTTTTTCAATCCGCCTGTGTGTTTCTTTTGAAACCACGCCTGGGGGGTTTCGGTGTTCGTTTTATTTTGAAATCACGCCTGGGGGTCCCGGTGCTTGTTTTGTTGCATTCATGCCTGTGGGCCGGGGCGTTTTTGCTTTTGAATTCACGCCTTGGGGCTCCGCTATTTTTTTGAATTCACGCCTCTGGGCTGGTGTTTCTTCTTTTGACGTCACGCTTGGGGGTCCTAGTGTCTTCTTCAAAAAACACCTAGACCCCCCAGGCGTGATTAAAAAAAAAACAAAAACTTGGACCCCCCAGGCGTGATTTCAACCAAACAAACAAAAGCACCTGGACCCCCAGGCGTGCTTTAAAAGAAAACCAATCACCTGGACCCCCCAGGCTGATTCAGAATATGTGATTCCACAAAACACACCGGAGCCCGGTAGGCTCAAGAAAGATCCTACCCCACATGGGGTCCCTTTGATGGGGACACGCCAGCCAAACAAAACCGTCACCCCCTTGAAAACACCCCCTCCAAATTCCCAGAAGAAAAAAAGGAGAAACAAAAACACAAGCCACCACTGGATTTGGGACCAGTGGTCATTTTTGAGCGTGGCCCCTTTTTCTGGGGCTAAAACAAAAATGAAACCAAAGGAGAACCGTTTGGCCATCTCCTTTTGCTTTCCTTTTTCAAGTGGAGGATCGCCGGTAGAAGAGTGAGGGAACTTGGCTGTCCCTTTTTTTGGATTTGGACCTCCCCAAAAAACAGAACGTGGCGTCAGTTTTCCTTTGGGTTCCCTTTAAAACCAACCAAAAAGGGGCTCCCTCAAAAAAAAACACCCATTTCAGCTTTGGGACTTGTGTAATTTGCAGATAGGCACACTCGAGCCACTTTTTGGGCTTGGACCATTTTAGTGGTTGAAATGTTTAGAGACTTGTTTGGCCAATCCACTCGATCGGCAGTGAGTAGGTGTGACTTTGGCCAATCCACTCGATCGGAAGCGAGTAGGGTGTCGGCGTCCTTTTCTACCTTGGTTGAAAGGGAAACCCGAAGGAAGACCAGAAGGAACGTGCAGATTTCAGGCCTGACGTTGTCCTTTACCTGGATTGAACGGGACACTCAAAGGAAGACAAAAGAAGGAGCTTGCAGATTCCAGGCCACTTCGCTCCACGGAGAGTGCGCGGCGCAGATCATGCTGCAGGATATGAAGGACAAGGATGCCAAGCGCGTCAGCGACGCTCGGCTTTTGCGAGATGGCCGCATCCTTATCCTGGTATTCAAAGCGACACCAACAGGAAGCCAACGATTCTAGGGGACCAGACAGAGTTGGTTGAAGGGCCACTAGAAGCAAATCAACCATTTCAGGAATTGGACAGAATCCTGGCTTGAGAACCCCTCCAAATGTGTCTCCAGCCCACTTCAAGCACTTGTACAAAGGGGAGGCCACAGGCCATGAATTCTTGCAACCAACCCCCCGCCACCTTGCCTTTAGGTGGCCTAAGATTCAAGGTACAGTGGAATACAAGGAACCTACGAAATCTTGTTTTGCCAGAACCTCAAATGCACGTGGTGTTCGAGTTGAGGTTACCATTGGGTATCTTAATTCGGGACAAGGTAACCATCCCATGGGGAAAGCGCCTTTAGCTCCCGCTCCCCGAGGTCGGTTTCGGACTCTGGTCACTTGGGTTTGTACCGTTCGATCTGCAAGTAAGTTGCATGAACGGTGAGATTGCCGGTGGTCATAGGGCCGAACAATTCTTCACACATGTTTCCCACCTGAACTTTCAGGTGTCTTGCATGCTACCTGCATTTTCCAAGAGAGCTGCTATCAGCAACCTGAGCACCATCGCTCGTCCTGGACTGCGGGCAGCTTCACATTGAGCCAGGAAGACACAGATCCAAACACTTTGTCTTTGCGTGCCGATGCAGATCCCGGATTTTTTCCAGCCCTTATGGACATGTTAGTTCGGAATCGGCCCTGGGTGCGATGCCTTCCAGTGTCTATGGCCGAAAAGAAGCAAGGCTTCTCAGCTATCCCTGAGAAGCTATCCCAATCGTCGTATCCTATGCTGAAGGTATCGAAGGTTGTTCAGCCATCTCTCTCACAGCCAAAGCACTTCTCAATAATACTCAGGAAGGTGTGCTGAATTTCAAGTTTGTCAAGTGGAGTTGGTTGCGGTCTTTTGGAGCTAGGGCTACCGGTTGTTTGCGCGAACGATAAAGACACACAGAACATCAAGTCGCGCCAAAGCGTTTTATGCTTAAGATCGCGATTCGGGAACTTTGGCTGAGCAAGCTCCAGACACTGCCTTCTCTTTGAGCTTACCCTTTCAACTTGGTTCAAAGGGGATTCAAGAGGAAACCTGCCATTCTCAGGGTCCCCGAATTTGAACACCTGCAAAAAACGCAGCACTTGTATTGGCAAACGTGGAGTGCCCGTGTTTAAAGCATCACTCAATGGTCGAGTGTCAGGTACCTGCAGCTCAGTTGAATTCTGTGCGCATAGGCAGCAACAGCGACCGCATCATATGCGGCAAAACAACAACAACAACATCATGCACCAAGTGCTGCAACAGAATGCGCTCAGCACCCGCAACACGCTTAATTAGGACGCAACACCACGTGATGCGCTGAAAAAAACATCTTGAATTACAGTACAGACACCAATGACTCTCCCATGCATCTCGAGCAGAGTTTTGGCTAGACGTCCCGAGGCACGTGTTTGAGCGGTGATCTTGTCAAAGCTGCCCGTTGCAACAGGCTGGGTGCACATAGTAATGTGCACAGCCACGTGTGTATGCCGCAGTCAAGACACCGGACCTTGAATTGTCAACATTCCTTCCAAACACCACATAAATACGCATAGATACAGAGCGGCGGCGCAGGTTAAACGTTAGAGTTTTTGCGCTAACTTTTTTCATGTCGGCGGCTTTCGACTTTGGGGGGAGGCTAAAAGCCGAGAATTCTACAGAGATCCTCAAGTCACGTGTGTGTGTGTTGCCAGTATTAACCCTGGTGAGCATGATCACGGGAAAGCAGTCCCACAGTAGATCGCCAACTACCCAGGCTTGAGGGACCAAAACATGGCGTGTGTTTGTCTTGAGGGTCGCATTTGTTGCGTGGCTTCAAGGACACCAAAGCCGAAACCATGTTTACCATATGTTTGAAACATAATATTGACCCCACATGAATCAACCTCAGTTTATGAATCGGCGGGTGTTCCCCTCCAAAAGTGGTGAGATTCCCCCACATTTCACCCAGGGACAGCCGCCTATGAATGGACTGGGGTTGATTCATATGGGGTCCATTTTTCTTTTTTCCTCAAAAAATGGTCCTTTTCTCTGAAACTTGGGTCTGGGCGTTTGGGCGCCCACGTGGGACACCTATGGCTGCGGGTCAAAACCGTTTTGGTACCATTTTGGTTGGTAAGTGAATTCACCACCCATTTTAGAACCTATTTTAGTGGGGATTGAATCGGATGTTCACTGGGGATAACTGGGCTTTTGACGATCTGAGGAGGAGGTGGAGAAGAAGCAGAAGAGCCGGGCGGAGCACGGCATCGGCTGGACGGTGGCGCAGGTGCCGAGGAACGTGGCGACCGTGGCCCGGCAAGGGAGAGCTTTGAGGAGAAACCGCAAACGGGGAGACGAACCTTTGGTGCATTTTGCCAAGGGATGTTAGGACTTTAACTTTTGGCCAACTACTGGGGTTTCCATTAAACCACTAAAAGTTAAACTTCTAGCACAAAATCGCCTTTTCAGCTTCCCAACCCACTGACAACCTGAGAATTTAACACCTATGGACCACTTACATCGATATGGGTATGGTTCAAAATGAAACCACCAAGAATATGGACCGCAGGTTTTATGTTGGGTGCCTAATTTTGACCCACAGCCAAATGGGAAGACGAGAATAGGAACCCCAAATTCGCCTTTTCAGCTTCCCTCGGAAGAAGTGTGTCCCCCGCAAGTTCAGGGGGACACACATGCGATGGAGATCATTCGTCATCGAGACTGCTGATCTGGGTGGGAGGGGCGAGTAAAGCCTGTTGGACAGTTCCTGAAAGGAGGGCACAGGAACATGTGGCTGTGGTTGTCAAAACCGTTTTGGGGTCCCATTTTGGTAGGTAGGTGAATTCACCACCCAAACCGTTTTGGGATCCCATTTTGGTTGGTAGGTGAATTCACCACCCATGTTAGATTTTTATTTTAGGTGGTTGGATCGAATCGGATCTTCACTGCCATGTGATCCAAACCAGCCGTGGGTTTTCCTCGGAGTGTCGGCTGCTCGGAACTGGCTCCGAGGCCGCCAAGCTGGGATGCACCCCAGCGCCGCAGGGCGGGGACTCGGGGCTCGGGGCGCGGGGCTCGCTCGCTCGGTGTTCTCCGCTTTCCCGAGCTATGAGTTGGTCTCCAACGGAAAGTGTCTTGGTCAGGTTGCACCCCTCCCCCCCCCCGAAAAAGAGAAAAAATGGCGTGTTGGTTTCCCTGTATCACCACCAAACCGGTACCATCACAAAAGATGTATTTGGGGGGACCCGACAAATTCGCTTTGAACGAACCCCAAGCAGGGTACTCAGTTGAGATTTCAACGGAAGTGCTTCTGGCTGAGTGCTGCTGGAGGTCTGTTAGAGACCTTCTACCCACTTTCCGGGTTCCCCCCAGTGGTGCCTTTTCGGCACATCGCCAGAGGAGGTTTTGCAAAGCGGCGGACTCCCACTTTTACCGGTCCCCTATTTGAAGACAATCCCCGCTTCCGAAACCAACCCTCCGCGATTTAGCGCGACTCCCCCTATTTTCAGAAACCACCAATTCGCGATTGAGAAACCAAGCACGCAATTCCGGAAGCCAAAGCCTCGAGAGTCCGGAACCACACAACAACACGAGTCATTCTGAGCAACCGCTCTGGGACTGGGGGATGGGGTGGTGGGGTGGGCGGGTGTTTCGCACCAAGAGCTTCGCGCAGCTGCGCGGGGCGAGCCGAAAGTTCCTTATAGCTTATATGGCGTCTTCCCTCTCCCGGACCAACCCCCTTCAAGATTCAGGGTTCGTTAGGGCTTCCTGAGGGTTTCTTCGGGTTGCCCAGCAGCATTTGGCAAAACCCTCCCTCCCTCCCTCCCTCCCTCCCTCCCTCCCTCCCTCCCTCCCTCCCTCCCTCCCCCCCTCCCTCCCTCCCTCCCTCCCTCCCTCCTCCCTCCCTCCCTCCCTCCCTCCCTCCCTCCCTCCCTCCCTCCCTCCCTCCCTCCCTCCCTTCCCCCCTCCCTCTCCCCCTTGCAACCACCCCCTCCTTTCAACCCGTTCCGACCTCGCCTGAGCCTCGAGACGCCAGGCTTGGTGTGCCTGGCCTGGGACCAGGCGCAGTGCCGGGTGTCGGTGCAGGCCACCGCGGACCCCGCGGCGGCGGTGAACTTGGAGTACCTCGCGCTGGCGCTGAAGGCGCAGCTGCAGTTCTTCTCGCTGGGGTGGAGTGGGAGGTGGGTTGGCTGGGGTGGTTGGGGTGGTTGGGGTGGGGTGGGGCGGGTTTTGGACTTGTGGGTGGGGAGGGGTGGGGTGGTGGGGCTGGGGGGGGGCTGGGCTTTGGGAGTTGGTACCCTTGTGGGTGGGAAAGAGTTCGCAGAACAAGAACCATCAAGTTTTTGGATTTTGCCAGTCAAATGACACCCGACATCTTGATCATTTGTGAACCACACCGGAAAATCATCCAATTGATCTTCTTGGGTTGGGTCCTTGTTCGATTTGGCTCCCATGGCCCGAAAGAATCCCCCTCGGAGATAGTCTGGAGTTTGGCGTATGTGAATGTGCAGAATCAAAGGTACACCTTGTCTATTTATTGGCTGGTTTGGGGGTTCTGCAGATTGGGGGGATTTGTGCGTTCCTTCGGGTTGCTTCGGGGCGTCTTTTTTGCATGCGCGCGAAGCGGGCGTCTCAAGAATGTAAGGCCACCCTTGACGAGTGAATCACCGACATTCTGTGACAAGATTCCTGCGTACGTGCTCCGTCAACCTGGTCGCAAGGGCGCAGGGAATCCCCGGAAACTTCGTGCGAAACAGAGACAACATCCATCGGCAAGTTCTGCAATTGACATAAAATTAACAATAAGTAGGGATCTGCAGATAGAGGACATGGCTTTCGCTCGTTTCATCCCCGCATCGCCATAAAGGCAGATCCATGCTATGCTCCTTAGCGATCACCGGTTTTCTGATGCGCGATGCGCATCAATCAATTTGATTCCAGCGGTCAAATCAAAATTGGAGCCGCAACTCTATTGATGTGGGAAGTCCGGACGTCCTGACGATGGCTGAAAAAAAGTTGAGACGTGATCCCTTCCGAATGGTTTCTTGTTGGTTTCCCACGCCATGAGACCAGCTGTCCCCCCAGCTGTCCCCAGTTTTGTCGCTTTCCGTCCGCATCTCACTGGCAAGGTGTTTGCGATCAATGTCAACGCAGGCAGAAGATGTTGCAATGAGTGCGTGCAAAACCACACTCTTCGCGCAGCGTAAGTAGTGAGCAACTAGCACGTCCGCTTCAACCAAGCCGCCTAAAAGCCCAAACACTGAACCCCAACGAAAGCCCAACCCCCAAAATCCCAAACACCGAACCCCACACCCCCATCCAAGCCCACCCAATGAAGGCCCTATGTGAATTTGATTTGGGTTTGCTGCACAAAATAATGGGGAGCCCCCAACACGGAGGTTTTCTTTTTTGTTCTCCTTTACCACCGTTTTGGGTACAAAGAAGCAACCCCTCGTTCCACAAATTCCCTTCTTTTTCGTTTTCTGCGTTCCAAAACACGCACACCCATTCGGGTGGGTCTTTTTTTTTGAGGGTGCCCCTTGTCCTTTTGGGTAAAAATAAACTACAAGGACTGCCCCACGAAGCCATTTTGAAGACGAGCCACCTGTAAATAATAGGGTGTGTGTGTGTGTGTGCGCGTCCCCATTTTTTTTTGGGGGGGTTCATCACTTTTGGAGCGATGCCCCCAAAAATAGAGACGGGTTCTACTTTGGTCCGGGATCAACATTTGACCCCGGATGAATGGACCTGTATTGATGAGTATCAAGGCGGTTCTAGGTGCTTGGCAGATGCCGGCCGTCCGGTTCCTTAGCTTTTTAGGTTTTCAGTTGGCCATTTCACCCACAAGTTGTTCACTTCTAGCAGATCTGAAAGACAGCCCAGAGTGGTAGCCTTCAGCAAGCAATTTTTGTTGGTATCCTTTTGAATCCCATCTTGCAAATGGCTTGGGGACTGACCAAAATACCAAAACCAAGTGGGCTTCCAATCAGGGCTCTCGTTTTTTGGGAGACCCCCTTAGTCTTAAAGGCAAACCAAACGGAAAAAAAAGGCATGTAGTGGGGTCCAAACGCAAAACAATCGCCCAAAGAACGCCAGTTGCGGTCCAAACGCGATACACCTCGGTCCAAAAACGCCCATGTTGTGGGCTCCAAGCGTGAAAATGACGTCCGTTTTTTTTCCCAAGGGCTTGCGCCACTGGCGGTTGGCGCCGCAAAAGGCGCGCCGCGCGCCACCAGGTGCGCTTCCACGCCTGCCGCGAGCCGCTCTTCTCCCTGGACCCGGTGAACCCGGCCGGGGGCCCCGAAAAGCCACGGAGGGAGTTGGAAGACGCGACGACGCCTGGAGGGGTTGGAAAAAGTTGTCTCAAAGGAGGCTGCAAAAATCCGGCGGGCGGCTTTGGTTCCTTTGGGGTTTCCCCCCCAAAAAAAAATCCACGGAGAAGCAAGGAAGTATGTCGCCGCAAGAAAGCTTTGGTTTCCTTCGGTTTCTAAAAGCTGAGCAACAAGGTTTTTCTAGCCCGAAAAGATGAGCTGCCCATGTGTTGCTGGTGTTTTTTTTTCTCCCCCCCCTGCACAGAGCTTTTTGTTTGCTTGGTTTGTGTTTTCCCCTCAACGCAAGGGGGTTGGGGGTAGCTTAGTTTTGAGCCTGACGAACCTGAATGACGAACTGGGAATCTGAGGACTGGGAAGCGATTTGGAGCGACACGACAACAACACTTCAGGCAATTCCCAACTGGTGGTTTGGGGATTTGAACCCTGGCTTTTGTAGATGGAAACAAAGGGGAACGTTCACCGACCGGAGACTGGATACACCTTTCCTGAAATGTCAAGAATCAGAGCGATGGAGCTGCGAGTTCACGGCCGTCAGTTTTCAGCTTCCCTTTAATTGGTTGGAGGTATGGAGGTATGGAGGTTGTACAGCACTTTTGCTGCTTTACAAGGTTAGGCTGGTGGTCAATCGGCCTCCATGCTGTTGATTCCCTCAATGTTGCAGGTAGGGAACAAAGGAAGCCCTGCAGTTTGCCGCTTGGGTTGGTTTACTTTCGACCAAAACCAAATCGTCTAGTGCTATGGATGGACGGAATCCATTTCGCATAGCCTTTTAGACACCCTGCAATCATCCCCTCAGCCAAGATCTTCCCTTCTTCTCTTTGAAAGCCAGCCAGAAGGGGGGCTTCCGAACCCGAAAGGGACATTTCAGAAAATCTCAAAGAACCCGCCGCCAAAAAAAGAAGACGTAGAAGAAGTAGTTGTTTTCTTCTTTGCCTCCCAAACCATTTTGTTGAAACGTTCTAGGTGATCTTTGGGTTTCCTTCGCCTTAAAATTACACCTTGCACCGACTCATTGGACTGCACTTCCAAAGTGGGTCCTTTCGTTTCCAAAGTTGGGAACGAGTTGCCCTCTGACCCGTCCAACTTCCGGTGTCCGCGGGGCACCGCGGTTTCGGGGCACCTTTTTTTCAGTTGGAATGCCATCACCCCCGGTTGCAGTTGCGACTAAACTTGGATCCGTGAGCGTGTGTGGGACCGAAAAAAAGCGCATCTTCACATCTTCATTTGTTGGGCATTTTGGGCGCTTTTTTTCTCGCCCGGGCCGCGGGCGGGTATTTTTTTTTAACCCCGCGGGGTTCCATGGACCGATCGGGCAGAAGCCAAGTCGCTGGCTTCGGTTGCCCTATCTTTTTGCCCACAGGTCCCAGGCTTGCGGGCTGAAAGTCAAGAATAGCATTCCCGTGGGAAAAAACCCTGACCGCGTAAGGGCGTTTGGTGGCAACCATGCAAGCTTCTCAGGCCGCTGGTTGGATTTATTTGTAGCCCTGGCACGAGTCTTTGTAGGACGCCACAAAAAGGAGGTGTCACTTTTTTCAACAAGAGTGGATTAACATAATTGTTATATCCAGTTGAATCATTGAACTCTTTCAGGGCACTACACAAGTCCTCTTTTTGTGGGCTGGTTTTGTTGACGTTCCCAGTCTGCAAACCGGGCGATGGTATCAAGCTCGGTTTCAAGAACCTAGGTATTTTTTTAATGGAAACCAGAAAGCATGGTTCACAAGGCTCATTCCCTCATTCCCTACCCATTGAAGCGGCCAAACAAGGTTATTTTTTTCGGCACCCGACAAAAAGGTTCTGTAAACAAATAGTGACGTTTGGAGGGCAACTTTTCAGGGCCGTCCGAAAGGATATGGGGGCGAAACGCCGGGTGGAATCGCCCAACTCAGCTGACGGCCGCTGCAACACTTCAGGTGGGTGGGTCTTAAAATAGACGGCACCCCCAAACTCAGTTTTTTTTTTTTCTCCGGCCTTCCTTTCATTGCACCAGAAAGAAAAAACCGCAAAAAACAAACACACACACACACACATCCCCCCTCCGTCAAAAAAGAAAGAAATATAAAACACATCTCCCCGGAAAAAAAGAAGAAGAAGAAGAAGAAGAAGAAGAAGAAGAAGAAGAAGAAAACACACACACACACACACACACACACACACACACACACACACACACACACACACACACACACACACACACACACACACACACACACACACACACACACACACACACACACACACACACACACACACACACACACACACACACACACACACACACACACACACACACACACACACACACACACACACACACACACACACACACACACACACACACACACACACACACACACACCACACAACACACACACACACACACACACACACACACACACACACACACACACACACACACACACACACACACACACACACACACACACACACACACACACACACACACACACACACACACACACACACACACACACACACACACACACACCCCCCACACACACACACACACACACACACACACACACACACACACACACACACACACACACACACACTCACACACAAACACACTCACACACACACACACACACACACACACACACACACACACACACACACACACACACACACACACACACACACACACACACACACACACACACACACACACACACACACACACACACACACACACACACACACACACACACACCACCACACAACCACACAAACACACAAACACACACACACAAACACACCAACACACCAACGCGCAACCGCGCAAACGCGAAAACACACACACACACACACACACACACACACACACACACACACACACACACACACACACACACACACACACACACACACACACACACACACACACACACACACACACACACACACACACACACACACACACACACACAC